GGGGCGGAGGGTGCCGCGGAGAGCTGAGGCTGCTAGCGTAGTACCTCCGAGCCTCCGCCGCCCTATTGCTGTCCTTGTCGGTGCTGCGCGGCAAGGCCGTTGGCGTGGCTTTTGCATTCCGGCAGGGCTCCCGGAGAGGTCTTCAGCAGGGCAGTGGCAAAGTGGCTTCCGGTTAACCCGTCGCTGGCTGGTCTGCAGTTACCTCGGAGCAAAGCCTCTTAAACGGTTTCTTTTTTCTGTCAGAGTACATGGAGTGCCGATTTTACAGTAACTTTAGATATCATTTGCAAAAGAAACCAAAGTTTACTATTCCGAGCTCTAAATAACTAGTATATGGAAACTAGTTATTTTAATTGGCAGTACTGTTAAATTAATCCAGCAACACAGCAGGGTAGTTTGGGGACATATCAAAGGTCATGATTATTATGTATCAGTTGAAACTTCTATTGAGATTTTATTGTTACATATGACTCAATTAAAGTTAGTATGTCGATCTTCACTCAAACATGCGTTAAATGCATGGCCAAAGATGTTTTCATCTCATAGTGTGCAATAACATGAGTTACTAGGTGTATCTCTTCAACAGAAGGGGAACTCGGCTGAGCAAAGTTTGTATTAGGGACACATAGTGTAATTGCCTGGGTTAGGTTGGAGTAGCTGATTATCTCTGAAGTTTATTATAAAGCAATAATAGGTGTGAAAGTAAGCTTAATATATGTAGGGAGAATTTGTTTTAGCATTCCAACTTGTGTGGATACGAAAGTATCCTATCTAACCTTTTCCTTAGGTTAGAAAAATTTGTGTTGGGAGAATACATAGACAGTTTGCTGTGCCAGGTATAATTAGAGATGTAACTAAATCTGGAGAATTCTTAAAGTCGTTGGCAAAGATAATCCTGTGAGGGAAGGTAGGGTGAAATGCACAAATACTGTAGTTTAGTCAGTTGTCAGCTCTTTATTGTAATTGGCTTAAACTAATTTATTGGGGGTTAAAAAATGGCAGACAGAGTTTTCTCCTAATATAGAACTTTTTTTGAATGTTTCCAGGTAAATCTTACCTGGATGAAGTTGTAAAACTGGGCTTTATAGGTAGCCTATATAAAGGGGTAAACTAGTTGACAAGGAAATAATAATGCTATTATTATAATTTTTAAAAAATTGTCAAATATTTCGCACTTTTTCTGTCTGCAGAGATTCTGCAAGAGGATGCTCTCAATATAACATCTGCACAGAAGAGAGAAACTATTCCTGTTTTTCCCCTTCTGACTTTTACTCCAGTCTTGGGTTGGAAGACTTTCTCTCTGTGGGTGACACTTCTGGAACAGAGGAGAATACAGACTCAGCTATCTTATATGGAACTTTGCGAGGAAGTGTTGTTGGATTACGATACTACACAGGGATTGTAAGTACATGATAATTACAAAGCAGAAGAAAAAGTTTTTATCAGAAAAAAAAGTTTAATTAAATTTCAAAAATTCCGAGAGCATTTGAACAAGTATAATTTTAATATTTTTTTTCCTAACTTTCTGTAGTCAACATTCTTCATAGGAAGCACTTAATCTAAAACTTCAATTAAAAATTTAATTAAGGTAGCAAGCTTTCAAATCTGGTTTAGTTACTTGGTAGCTCTGCTCACCCACATAAGGCAAATGAAAGTGACTGAAGACAAGAAATTAGGTAGGTCGTTGAACTGTTTACACGGACAAAAATGGGTGTTTATTCCCTTGTAAAATGTGTTAGCAGTTGAAGGTAGTTCTTGCTGTCAGGAATACTTTTGAAATTGCTGACATCTGTCAGGTAGCTATTCTGTAATGCTTTCGGTATTTTGAATAAGTAGTAGGTTATTAGAGTGACTGAACAGAATGCTATACCAAATGAAGCTTTAAGCTTCACAATATTTAAGTAAATGTATGTTAGATACTTCTGCAAATAATTTGCGACTAAATGAGTGTGTTCTGGCATTTGTTTGTTTTGCTTTGTTAGGTTAATAACAATGAAATGGTTGCACTTCAGAGGGAGCCTAATAATCCTTATGATAAAAATGCAGTGAAAGTAAATAACGTGAATGGAGACCAGGTAGGCCATATAAAAAAAGAACTAGCAGCAGCATTGGCAGGCATTATGGACAACAAACTAGCAATAGTTGAAGGGTAAGTGTGAAGATTATGCTTTTGGTTCCATGAATATAAATAGTGGAAGCCATTTTTGTTGCTACACTAGCAAATTCTGAAAACTAGAAGTTCTCTTTTGACAGAAATGACAGCTCTTGGTAATATGATTAAGGCTTCATATTTCAGACTCTCTAATCTTCTACTGAACTACTTGCATACAGTTCATTCTTTCCCATACGTGCTGAAATGTAGAGACACTATTGTGAGCAAATTCCTTAAAGATTGTTGTGGAACTCTTAAATTAACTGCATGTGGTGGTTTGTATAAAAAGTTTAGGCAGTATGAGTACTAACACCTATCTGGAACATTCTATGTTTTGATGACAATAAGCACTTTGGAGTACCTGAGGAAATAACAAGGTTTATTATAAAAAAATTAAACAATTAAAAGATTACTGGGGTTTTTTTCCTGCTTTTTATCAGGGTTGTCCCTTATGGAGCAAAAAATGCCTTTACCATGCCTGTACAAATGAGCTTTTGGGGAAGAGAAGAAAACAAGGAAACAGTGCTAGATCAGCTAAAAAGGCATGGTTTTAAATTGGCTCCTCCTCTGAAAGGTAAGTCTTGAAGTTGTGGTGTTTTTTCCTGTTTTAAAATACTCAGATTGAACTTGCCACTGGTTGGAAGAAATGTTTAAGGGCTTAATCCTCATCATAGTCTTGTCATTCCCCAATTTTTTTTTTAACTTAGTTGGGGAATAATACAGAGATCACAGCTATTAATTTTAAACTTCATCGGAAATACAGTTTTGTGGAGAGGCATTTGAGCAACTGTGGAAAATATACTCGATTCCATAAGTTCCTTAAAAATCCGTAATGATTCTCTGCATTTCTCCAGGCTTGCAAAAATTTTTTAATAAGGAACAGGTTAGACCCTTTCATAGGGTGAGGGTTTCAGGGACAGTGCTGCTTTTTAGCAGGGTGCTAGGACATGTATCCCACTAGTGAGGTGTGAGGAAATAGAGATGAGATGTCTCTGAACAAATAAGCTTAGCAGACCTGATGCTTTGCAGCGCCAGCCTCGCACAAAAAGCACCTGTGCTCCTGGAACTAAGCTTTGTGGAAGCGGCAGTAGTCTGGAGTAAGGATGTGTACAGAAATAAACACTTGGTGATGGGTAGATCTGTTTTACATATAGCAAGATTTCAACTTTTATCTTACGGGTTCTGTTGCGCATAGTTAACAGAAAAACAGGTTGGAGTAAAAAAGCATTTTGCATTATCAGTCATGATACTGTTACTAAGTCAAATTTCATGTAACACAACAATTTTTGAGAAACACAGTTGCCATCTCCAAGAATACCAACCCACAGCTCATTGCCTGAGTCTTACAAAGCTTTGTGGAAAGCCTTTGTAGCCCATTAAAAGTAATGGGTAAATTGAGGCTAAAAAACAAATGGTGAAGAATACTGTCTTATAGCCCGCAATCTGATCAGAGTTGTTACTCATGAGCCAGTGAAGGTTGAGGCTGGGAAGTTGTCATATTGTTGTGTTTCAAAATACTATCTTTTTAATGGCATGTAGGTTCAGAATGTGGTTTTGGATCAAAGTGGATTTCTGGGAGAGCTGGTCCAAGTTATAGCGCTCCAGTTCATGCTGCTGTGCAGTTGACAACTGAGCAGGTTTGCATTTCGTGCTTAAACACGTGGAATTTTAACAGTGGGGGCCTTTAACTTTTTCACTAATAAAACAGTGCTTGTGAAGTGGAAGTCTGTTGCTGCTTTTTTTTTCTTTTCTGAACCACAGATTTGCTTTGAAGTCATCTTTTGAACTTTTCCATTTTTATTCTGTAAGCAGATGTTTTAGCTATGACAGCCTTGAGTTCCATGTAATTTTGTGACGTTTTGGTTATTCAGTAATTTTTTTTACATTGTTGTGGTGGTGTGTTTTCTTTTCTGTATCCTACTGCTTTACCAGATGACAAGTATGTTAGGTTCTTAAAAGAAAAAATCAGACTTGCAGACTTCATCTTCAGATTCGTTCCAGGGTAATACATGAAGGATTGGGTGGTGGTTTGGTTTTGGTGTTGCTTTTTGTTTGCTCTTTCAAATTACAGTGAAGTAGTTACTTTAGTGAGTGTTGTACAAGGATATGAATATCCTTAGCCATCCCTTCTCAAGCTCTAGCTTATATTGGCATGTGTTTGTCTTGGAAAAACTGAACTGAGTTTTTATATAGTAGTAGCTAGTGAACATATTGTAGCAAATCAGGTCTAAAGTGGTAGACCTGTCTATACTGATTACTCTATGACAGGTAATTGTAATTTAATAGAGTCGTTGATTATTTAGTGAGGTTATTTTTAATTGTAATAATTTTAATTGCAATTTTTGTGTTCATTTATGCAGCTTAAAAGTGAATTTGACAAATTGTTTGAGGATCTGAAGGAAGATGATAAAACTTGTGAAATGGAAGGAGCAGAGGTATTTCTTAAGCTAGAAACCATTTTCAATAAAAATATAAATACTTAAACATCTAGGTACATATTTGGCTTTGTCTGGACACAGGAGATGCTTGAATCAGAAAAAAATTTCGTAGATACAAAGGACTTCGGAAGAAAATTTTTTTTGGATAAAAACAGAATGTCATATTTAATATGTGAATAGTGCATAACGTATCTCTTTAATTTGCAGGCTGTTGGCACAGTCTTGCTTCCCCATCAGAAGCAGGCTTTAGCTTGGATGGTTTCACGTGAGAACAGTAATGATTTGCCACCATTCTGGGAAGAGAGAAGTAACTTCTATTACAATATACTTACAAATTTTGCAGAAAAGCAGCGACCTAAAAACGTTCTTGGAGGAATACTGGCTGATGATATGGGACTGGTAATAATACTTACCAAGCTTGAATTTTTTTTATACAGAACGTGTGTGTGTTTCTTGATCGGTTGGTCATTTGGTTCGTTTTAATCTGTGGAAAATAGGACATTCTTTTCTGTTTTGCAGGGTAAAACGCTTACTACTATTGCATTGATTCTCACAAATTTTCAAGATGGCAAGCCTCTCCCTGTTGAAAAGGTCACAAGTGAGAAGTTTTATGAGGTGAGATGAAAGAAAAAGTTTGTTTTAACAGAGTTAATATAGCAGTTAATAAAAAAACCTGTGCCTAGTAACTTTCTGTATGGTGAACTTTGTATGCATTTTGTAGAAAAAGTTACTCAAGTATATCAAATAAGAGGAAGAATAGGGTGTATTAGTTGAAGGTAGGTGGACTATGTTACTTCAGAGTGTATAATTGAGCGGTAGACTGTGTTATCTTAGGAGTGTATGCTTAAGTATATTCCAGGGAAGATTTTGTGAAGGCATAAACATTTTCAATGTTAAGTTTTATAAATTTTTAAGTTTCTTACAAATTTCTCCTATAGGCAAGTAGTGACTCCACAAATAAAAGTGTTTTTTTCTGGGGGTGTTCATGCATAGTCCCTGTGTGGTTTGGAGGAAGTGCCTGAAACAATCGAAATAGCAAACGGAGAGTCTTGCTATATAGTACATAAATAAATAAATAAGTCTGGTTTTATATTTTTGTCAAATACTTGAAATGGAGAGAGGAGATGAAACTATAGTCAGTGAAGTAATACCAATGTGCAAACTCATCTTAAGTAGTGTAGTTAAGTGCTTTTTGCTTTTGTTATGATACAATATTCAAGATGATGAAATAAACTAAATGCTAAGATTAGGTGATTTATTATTCAATATACCCTGACAGTATTAAGGATGGGGGTTTTGTTTCGTTTTGCCACACTTGTCTAAATTTAACAAAATAATGCTTTGTGTTTGTCCTCAGAATGTTTACTGGAAAGTGTTATCAGTGTGTTTTCTTTCTAGGGCAAGCTGTGTAGAGTGAGTTTCTCTCCTCGCCTCTACAGTTTCATTTGAACTCTGCATGTGGCTACTGGAAAAAAAAAAAAGTGTAGCTTTTTCAGCACCTCTAAGTGACTGTCTGACTTGCCACTGAGCAAGTCTTTCATGTTTCAGAGCAGTAATTAATCACTGGTCAGATTAGTGTAATAATGTTATTGGCATTTTTTCCATTTGCTACATCGAAGAATAAAAGTTTCCTTTCCTCAATAGGAATCTGGTACTGACAGCATGAACAACGTTGGATGCAGACCGTGTAAAGGTGACAGCAAACTATGAAAAGTCCAGTTATCTTTGCATGATAATTAAAGTAATTACCTGGGGCACTCTTAGTCTGTGGTCAGTGCTAGTCTGCACAAACTCCTGACAAACTAAGTATCTGAGAGAAGTATTCAAAACATACCTTTAGAGGTGTTTCAGTTGACATATGGGAGGATTAAATGCCTTGTGAGAAATTTGTACCCTGCCAGGAAAGTTACCACATCCAGGAAATGGATTCTAGGTTCCTTTTGCTTTCCTTTTTTCTTCCTTGTAGATAAAACAGGAGCATTTATGCCTCTGTTAGAATCTGGTTTGTTTAAACTGTGAACATTAGTGAAATTGTAATTAGGTTCTGTATTAAGTTCCTTTTTTTTTTTTTAATATTTTTAAGTCATGAGCACATGACAAGTATTTAGAAGGATTTTATAACACCTGTAGTTTTCAGGTTGTACTGGGGGAATTTATAGATGTATGTGAAGAATTATACTTGCTATTAGTATGTTTTGTAACTCCTCATGCTCTTGAAGATGACTGAAGAAATGTATGGCCTTGAAGTTTTCTTGCAGTAACTTTTCCCTCGCTGTCCTCCCATGCAAGGAATTTTAATATGGAGGGCCTAACTGATAGCAAAAGAGAAATGGACTGATAAGGAGAGAGCACATTAGTATGCACTGCCTCTGATGAAAATTATTTTTATCAGTTCTCTTGAAGGGAGAAGATGCAGACTTTCATGGAGGTCAATATGAGTGTCACTAGAAAATCAGAATCTTTACCAAAGCTGAAATGCCTAGCAGCATCCAAGACAGAGATTTTTTTTTTTTTCCCAGAGCATCAGGCATTTTAACAAGATACTATTTACAGCAGTGAGTGGAGAGCTTGTTTCTACTACTATTTTATCTGAAAAAGTGATGATAAAGTCTTTCAAACATTTATATCCCCAACACCATTTCTCATTCTATTGTACGTTAAATTGATACCTATTTCTTGAGTCTTTGCAAGTTTTGCCATCTTCAGGATTGTATTAAACTTCTTTTAATATTAAAAAAAATATCTTTACTGAAGTTTAAATCTGGAATTCAAGCATGAATTTACTTACCTGAGTTATAGCAAAACTCCTTCTGTAGGTGCTGCTGCTTTCAGTTTTGGTATCAACTCTGTCCTGACGTGTTTTTACTTTTGCAGTTTCTTCTGATATGCTATTATTCACAGAGTGCGGAGGTGATGTTTTGTTCACTACCTGATAGAAGACTTTCTTCTATTCAGCAAAAAAAATTAACAAAACAAAACAGGCCCGCTGTGACCTCCCTGCACATCTGTGATGTTACCACATTTTTTCTTTTAATGTTGCTGTTACACATTTAGTTTTAGGCATTGTATAACTCATTAATTAGTAAGGTTTGACCCATAAAAAAACTTTACCATTTAGCATATTTAAAATTTCTTTATAGAACTTCACCCTTACTGTTAGTAGTACAATGCCTACATTTGGTTTTTCCTCTTTTCTTGACAATTTGTTTTTGACCACCTGCAAACTCAGTACACATTTTATGACTTTGTAAATATTTAATACTGTTTTAAGAGTATTTTTATTTTTCATGTGTGATCACAATATCAGTAGTACTTGTCCCATGCAGAACTAAGGTTGTTTTAAAGGAATTCTGTACTTGTTCTCAATCAAGTTATGCTAAAGTTGGTTTGATAACCAAGCTGAAGACTATGTATATTTTTCATAAATCCTAATTTCTTCTTTCTGAAGACTCTAGCAGTGTGGTGGAACCTGGTGTTTCTAACGTAAAGAAGTTTGAAACTAGTCCTATGAAACACTCAAGTTGTCTTCCAAAAAGGTAGATAGGAATAATGTTTTTGTTGGTTTGTTACATAGATGTGGTGTAAAAATGAAGTGGTACTTTGTTATGATTAACTGTAGCCAAAAATGTGTTCCTTCTCTCTCCTCACCTTTCAGTATGCTATATTTGTGCTTATGTTTATCCTAAGTGTTCTGTATCTCTGTTGCACTTTGGAATATATTAAAAAAAGCACTAACGCTATGTGGCTTGCGAGACTGCATGTGTGGCATCTAAAAAACTGGCTGTGGAGTAATCTTTCTTCTAGTATCAGTTGGGTTTAAGTGGTTAAGAAATACTTTGCAGCCATGTTTCTGACAGAGACAACTTTGAGCTGATGAAGTTGTGTTTGAACCTTCCCACCACATTAGCCTCTTCTTATAATTGCTGTGAAATTCAGCGATAATCTGTACCAAGTTTTATGAGCATCATTCACCCTGTGTTCTGTGCTTTCCCTTTGTCTAACCCTCCTAAAGAGAAAAATTTCAAATCACAGTGATATCTTGTTTGCAATATCAAGTTAATTTGCTTTATGTTCTTGAGATTTAATATGTAAATTGAAGCAGTAGTAGAGTTGTGGAGGTTTTTTTGGTTTGGGTGGGGTTTTTTTTCCTTTCTTAATGATAATATCTTAGAGATAAAGCAAAGAAACCCAGATATTCAGGAAGCAGTGACTTGGGAGAGTCTGAAGAATGGCTACTGCAACAAGCGGAAAGTAAGTTGCAAGGAATTTTTTTTTTTAATTGGTTACTATGACACCTGGTGTCTGTCTTTCTGAAGCCAAACTGAAAAGGATTTCTAATTAACTGGAATAAACTACTGGGCTTTTTATTTTATTCAACCAAAACTTTAAGCAGAAAATTTTAGAAATTGCTGAATGGGAAAGCGATGTTTTAGTCGTAGGTGTTGTAGTTTGTTTCCTTAGCTGAACGAGTGGTGATGTAACTAGCTATTAGCAGGGTCAAAAGGATGGTGAAAAACAGAATTGCTAATATTTTTAGAATTTGACATAGGCTTGTTGTCGGGACACTAGGGTTGAAAAAACAAATGAAAAAAAATAAGTCCATCTTTAGTGGTAAATACCTGAAATGTGATCATGAAGAGGCAAGAACATGTCATTTGTTGAACTAAGTATCTTGCGTGGGGAAAAAAACAAAAAAGAAAGGCTACAGGTACTCTGGATTAAGCAGTTAAGTTTAGGTTTAAACTACTTGGAGTGAAACCTGTCCTAAACTATATTTTTTCAATGACTGCTAAACTGCATTCCTCTGAAGATTCATAACCTGAAGTACATGTATAAGATACTATATTACTGCACACATGCCTGTCAGAGTTCAAGAAGCATCTGGACGATGCTGTTGGCTGTATAGTTTAGTTTCAGGTAGTCCTGCGAGGAGCAGGGAGTTTGACTCGGTGGTCCTTATGGATCCCTTCCAACTCGAGATATTTTACATTATTATATTGGAGAGGAGAAGTAATTTGGTTAACAGGTTTGCCTTTTATGAAATGTGTCATAAAAATAAATGCACTTATGTGCTCTGCATGGTGTGAAAAATCTGTCTGGCTTTTTGCAGCAGCTTCCTGTGTTATCCAAGAAGATACAGGCTTTGCATCTGTTCTTCTACCTTCATCTACTTGTTTAAAAAGACAAAGAAAGAGAAAAGGTAATGAAGGGATAAAAAGATAATATTTGAGTTTTTTGAAGCTGAAGTATTATATGTATTTGACTTAGTAAATTAAGCTTATGTCTTTGTAAATTGCTTTGACGCTGTTCAGGTGAAGAAATTTAGATAGGACTTCAGCAAACCATAAGTTTTCTGAACTTCTACTTTGCTTTAAAGTGAACTGTTAAGCCGCTAAATATGACTTCTGTTTTCTTAGGTACTGTGAGCACTCAGTCAGTTGAGAAGAAATATTCTGGTTATAGCCCCAGAGCAACACTGATTGTATGTCCACTGTCTGTCCTAAGCAACTGGATAGTAAGTGCTAAGCTGTTTTAGTGTGTAAATGTGATATATGTTGATAAATAGTATGCCCTGTAGTCTCTCATGCTAGTAAAAGATCATGGTTTTCCTTTTTTTTTTGAAACAGAGCTGCTTTCACAAGGGAGGTTTATTTGATAGAAATTTAAAAACTGGAGTAGTAGTATAATGAGAGTGCCGTTCCATGAGTAGCAAGCTCAACACTGTCAGAAAGAGTGAGCTCGCTTTCCATTCCTTGCTTTTGACTAGGAAGATTCAGTTCGGCACTTCTGGAACTCATGTGATTTAACTCCTTAAACCAGATGAGGAAGGTGGAGGAGACAGGTCCTTGTTCTTGCTTGCTGGGAATAAAATATTACTGTACTTTATTGATAATGCGTGTGACATTTCATTTACTGGAGGTGTTCAGTAGTTTGATGATCCTGTTGGTGGTTTGTGGGAGTAGGTCTGCTAGGGTGAACAGGCTGAAGGGCCCTTCTCTGTCTCTGCATTAGTTAAATTTTTTTGTTTTCATGCTAGCTGTGGTTAGAACATTAATAACAAAAGGAAACAATTTAATCTTAGGCTGTAGGTAAAACATTAAAGTCATCTAATTGGGAAACATCGGTTAGTGTGGAAAAAAAAAAGTACTTTTTTCATCAATTCAAAACTGAATTAAGTATTTAAAATGAAAACTTGTGAGTCTGGTGCTTCAAAAATCAAACTGTTGAGTTTTATTGGCTGTTGAGGTTACTGTATTCCGACTGCTTCACAGAACAAATGTCGGGCATATAAACACTGACAGCAAAATTGTCAAAGTATTAATTTTATGTTAAAACCTAGGTGGTTAACCCAGTAAGGGGAAGAAGCTGTAAATGCACAGTGAAAGAATAAACAGAGAGAAGGTGAAGGTAGAAAGTGAAAAAGAACATAAAAGCTCCTCTGCTACAGTTCAGGAGGAACAGTGGATTTTGAAGTGCATTTACCATCAGGATGTGAATTAATACTGTGCAAGAAGTAGAGCTAGAGTTATCAGAATGTGATACTGTGTCTATTACTATCGACTGAGTTGACTACTTCTGGTCCCTCTTCTCACCTGGATGGAGAGGTAGAAAAAAGAAACCTAAATTCAAATTGCTTTTGTTATATAAGTGGATGTAGAATGTCACAGAGCTTGAGGAAGTGGTTTTTAGTTAAGGCAACTTAGAAGAATTTTATTCTAAGAATCATATAGTAACACAGTATCTTTTGGGTGACTTTTTGACAACTTTTCTTTCAGGACCAGTTTGAACAACATATCCACCAAGATTTTCATGTAAATATTTATGTTTATTATGGTTCTGACCGTAGCAAAGACCCATCGTTTCTTTCAGAACAAGACATCGTACTGACAACATACAACATCTTAGCTACTGATTACGGAGTAAGTAAATGAGAAAAAAATGTTCTTTGAAAATGCTTTACTGTTCAAGACTGCCGGTGTTTGGGCTAATGATGGCAGTATATTCAAGTGCTATTCTGGTAGGCAATCAAAAGGTTATAGCTATAGTTTTGCTTTACATACTTTCTTACGGGTTTGCTGTGGTAACCAAGGGAGTTTTTTATTGATTGCTCCTGTAGAGAAAATGGTTTGCCTGCAATTATGACAGTTTAAGAGGAGACTTTTTAAGGATGGAAAAGGATGGCAAGTATGTAAATCTCCCCAAATCTCAGTGGCATGAGGCTCTCATTTCTGCCTTCCCCTATCAAATTCAAAGAATATGGAGCATACAAAAACATAATTCCATAGTTCTTGTTGCACATAGGCTGCAACCAAGTAGCGCATTCCATGAGATGTATTTGTAAAGTGATGTTTTCATAGAAATTCCAGCCATTTTAAAAACCTGAAGATTACGTCTTTAAATATAATATAAACTATTAATTTGCTCTCTAATCCATTTTCCATATCTCTGTGTCTTTGAAGCCTTTCTTCTTTTCAGGCTTAGCTTATTCTTGCTGTAGCTCATTCCTCATGTTCAAGTATGAAAAGACTGGTAACATTTTCCAGGAATCATTAAATCTGAGAAGGAATGCCTCTACTTAGTTTTGCTCTTATGTGCTGCTAAATAAACAAGATGCAAATAAATACTATCCATTATTAATTGTGGTATTGTTATATTAATAGGTTGCTTAATCCAAATTGTAAAAAAGTATTTTAATTTGAGTAAAAGATTTAAAAAATACTGTGTTTCAGATCAGAGGTGACAGCCCTTTACACAAAGTCAAGTGGCTGAGAATTGTGTTGGATGAGGGGCACACTATACGAAATCCAAATGCTCAGCAAACTAAAGCTGCCTTAAATCTGGAGGGACACAGAAGATGGGTACTTACAGGTAAAATATTTGACACCAGAGGAAATGCAATGCAAATCATCTTAGTGTAACGCCATCTTGTGTTTCCCACTTGGTGTTTCCCCTTTGGCTTTTTCTGGGAGGTGGTTAATGTCTGTCTGTGTCATGTTCATTTGGAATGTTTTTTAACTTGTCTTTAAGCAGTGGTTTAGATGTGTCTTCTTTTAGTTGTTTTTTATTTTGTTCGCTTTTTGTGGTTTCCGTTTTGTTGTTTGGGTTTTTACGGGGTTTTTTGGTTTGTTTTTTGTTTTTATTCAGTTTGTAGACACAAATTTTAAAATAACTTTTGATACACAGGTTTGGTGGAAGTGCAAGTAAAAAGGGACCTATTCATGAACTGGCATGTTACATCTGGTTAGAAGCTCACACTCTTACGTACTTGTCTGAACCTCAGTAGCTTTTTGACATGTAATAGTCATCCTAAAAATTGCCAGGGACCATGCAAGCATATGATCCTTAAAAGTAATTTAAAGAAGATCATGAAGTAACCACTGCTCATGAAGCTGAAATGGAAAGACTAACATCCAACTCTTCCTAGCACTGAGCGCTGCAGTTTTCTCACTCTCATATATTTGTTTTGTAGTATTTTAATTAAAAAAATAATATGTATTATACTTAATAACATGTCAGCCTAGTTATGAGATACCTTGTCCATGTCGTATGGTTTGGAGAAAGCATAAAACTTTCACTTTGATTAAAAATCTGTATTTTTTCGTTTCTTTGAGGTTTTAAAATCTTCTGTTTGTTTTCTGTTTAGGCACTCCTATTCAGAATTCCGTAAAGGATTTGTGGTCTCTTATTTCCTTCTTAAAACTGAAACCTTTTACTGATCTAGAGTGGTGGCACAGAACAATTCAACGTCCAGTCACAATGGGAGCTCCAGGAGGACTTGGGTAGGAAGTGTTCCCAAAGGGTTTGTGAATGATTATGACTGGCAGTGCTTGGGCAATGTGACAAATTAGTGTTTCACATTTAAAGTTGAAATGCATGTGTCATCAGTTCTTACTTCAGTTTTTTAGTTCCAATTAATAAATATTAAATAATTTTTTAATAATTCAGATTAATGAATTATATTGTACTACTGGGATTGGATTTTGTACAGAATATGTATTTATGCAATAAAATGAAAAAAAACCTGACAACCAACAAACCAACCCCAGCTGTGTAATATATCGTCTCTCTATGTATTTTTAGGCGTTTACAGTCTCTGATTAGGAGTATTACCCTTAGAAGAACTAAAACAAGTAAAGTTAAAGGAAAACCCATTTTGGAGTTACCAGAACGTAAAGTACTTATTCAGCATGTTACGCTTACAAAGGGAGAGAGACAAATCTATCAGTCTGTGAAGGAGGAGGGCAAAGTTGCTATTAGCAGGTAAGTAGAAGGCTTTCTTAATCTTGAAGGTTGAAGCTTGGTATCACAAACTTGTGTTTTGGAAGTTTTGATTATGTTAGCTATAGTAGCCAAGTGTGACAGTTCGTGTGCTGTAAACTAATAACTGCAAATAAATACAGCATCTCTTCAGTTATGAATGGTGAAGTAGAGACTGTTGCAGAACTATATATAGCAGAAGTTCTGTCTTGTGAGAAACAGAAAGGGATACCAGATAGGTAAAGAATGGCTTTAAAATTTCTGTCACCATGTGTTAGCACTGCTTCTAGTAGAAGATGCTACTGGTAGTATTTTGTACCGTGTTTCAGAAGAGGATTTGAGAAAATATATTCAAACAGGAAAGTGAAAAATCAGAACATCATTCTAACAGCTAAACTTGATCACTTGATGTCATCTGTTCCTTCAGGCTGTAGCATTTAACACTAATGATAAAACTCTTGTTCAGATTTTTCAGTGAAGGGACTGTACTAGCTCACTATGCTGACATCCTTGGTGTCCTGCTCAGATTAAGGCAGCTTTGTTGTCATCCTCATCTTTGTATAAATACATCTTCTTCTAGTTTTTCAGCTGGTGAGTGAATGCTTTTGGTTCTTGTGTTTCTAAAAACAGGACTTTCCCTTTGTATTCAAGAACAAAAACAGAAATACGTTTTTGTGTTTTCCGAGCCTTCTAGCTTCAGCCTTTCTCTTTTCAGCTTGGATTACTGAACTTTTAGCTTTGTTACTTTTTTTTTTTTTTTGTATCATAATATGTTTGAATGTGTTTGAGAAGTGGGTGCTCAAGCACATACTCAAATATGAACAAAAGCAATGAAGTATGAGTAGTTACAAAGGCTAGAAGCAGGAGTTAATAAGCTTTGACAGCGCGTACAGAAATCACTGAAGAGGATCTCTGCAGTGCCAAATGCAGAAGGCTTGTTAAAAAGCAATGTATCTGTTGTTGTAATAATTTACAGAGGTGATTTGTCAGCAGATTTTTTCCTTTGCCTCCGGAGAAAAGATGTAGGGGAGCTTTGGGGAATGGCTTGTAGATTGGTAGCCGTGTCAGCAGAACCATTGCCTCTTCAGCAGAATAGGAAACTGTTGACTTTGTTACGGCTGTGGGGAAGGGTGAACGCAGACGACTGAAAGGAGAGTGAAATTCTATTTTTGACAAGCCAGAACTGTACAGCTGCATAGTGTTAAAAATTATATGCATTTCTTTCAGAATAAAGTACAGTCTGTTTGAAATATTCCTAAACTTGAGAATTCTCAAATTTATATTTTGAAAAGTTCTGTTTTGATACGCCATTGGTATAGGTGTGATTTTTTTTCCGGAAACTGAAAGGCCAATGAGATATGGTCAGAACTTTTTTTGGAAGGTTGTCATTTATCTTTCTGAAAAATACAGGATGGAGAAATGATTGGATAAATTTTTAAAAAATGTTTAGAAATGAATTAGTAACTAGTAAGTATGATTTTAATTTCTTTACTTAAAAAATAAAGCGATCTTAACTATAAATAGTGTCATCTCTGCAGTATTGTTACTACTTGAACAGCTGCCATATGAAAATTGCTTGTTCCCACTAGGCATTGTCACGTGTACTTATCGCTGAGCATGCAGTCAAGGTTCTTTGAATTCTAACTACCATTTTTCCAAATCACATTACTCTTAATGTATTTTGAAGGAGTAGGTCAGAATTTTCTGTAGTATTTGGCAGCTTGTGTTTTCATACATTGTAGGCTATATCCTCATTGTGTAGAAACTGTCCTAATTGCATTTTGATCAGTGGAACTGTGTTGATCACAGCTCAGTGTTTCCTGTATGGACATCTCTGTTTTTAAGTATATTTCTATATTTGCAGATAATAAAACTCCTGAGGAACTGCATGAGACATTAGTGAGTAAAATGAAGTTGGTTCTGAGCTCTGGTTCAGATGAAGAGTGTGCAGTTTGCTTAGAATCACTGACTGTTCCTGTGATAACACGCTGTGCACATGTGTTTTGTAAGCCATGTATTTTTGAAGTCATCAGAAGTGAACAGGTTGGTTGTTCTATACTTACAGTTAATTGTAACAGCTATTCAAATCAATGAACTGGTATCACCAGAAGGCCATCTAGCTACTGTTCTTTTAAATCAGAAATGGTGAACAGTGTAAACCCTAGTTATCAGCTGGCTTATAAAAACTCTTGGCCTGAAGTGGAAGGATGGAGAGAGTAGCTGTCAGTGAACAGTGTTAAGGTCCATCAGTATTTTCAAAGACCTTTTCCCTGGTTCTCACCTTACCTTGTCCTTAGGGTAAAAGTGATGGCATCCAGTGCAGCATCATATACCTCCATATGGTTGGATGCCTCTCCACTGCTTGTATGTGATGTGATGCATGTATATATTGTGCTTAAGAGACCAAAGCTGTGTGTTGGAAGTTGACTGTTGAACTAAAATCATGTCTGCTCTCCCTATTCCACACTGATAACCTTCTATGGTGAAATAGCTGCCTTGCTAGAGTGCTATCTTTATGGCCTTTCTCTGGAGTCTCTCCAGAATAAGCTTGTGGATGAGTGTTTTTTGATTGCTTTTTTGAAAAGCCCAGTGTTTATTTTTCTTGCATGCTTCTAAGCTATACTTGTCCTTCTTGTTTGCCTTTTCCTGTCTAGGGCAATCTGATAGTGTGGTAGTGTCACCATCTATATCTAGTGCTGCTGCACTCGTCTCTGGAATTGTCCTGTCTCCTACTCAGCCACAGTAGAGCTGCAAGTGCCAGGCTAGACCTAGGTGGTGTTCTTTATAGGAGGCAGCAGGGGACAAATTAGTTCCCACTTGTGCATAATTAGTCAACCTAACAAGACAAAGGTAGGAAGTGTTGCCTGTCTGGCATGTAGATTGACTTTGTTTCATTACCAGACACGCAAGGTTCTGATGCAGATATCCCAATCAAGAGTTTCTGAGAATTTTGAGGGAAACTAGTGATGTAAAATTATTCTCTAAGGAAAGAGCACTTGCAGAGGCCTTTTTCCACTGCAGAGGTTCTTGATGTGTCTGTAGCAGAGTTGGTGCCCCTACTCAACCTTCAGGTGTATTTAGGCATGCAGAGAAATAAATTGGGTTATGATGTGATAGAACCTGTATTACTTGACCATACAGTCCAAGTTATTTACTATGCTTTACTGAGAAAGGCCCTTGGAATATGCAGAACTAGGGCTTTTGTCCAGTCCCACATTGTTCCATAGGTTGCCTTCATAGTAGTGAGGTCTGAACAGAGGTGGGTGTACACTCTGCTCTTTTGAAGTTGAACTATTGTGAGTTTATAAAGCAGTGAGTGAGTAAGCCTTTCTTACATTCAGAATGATTCCTGATTTAAATCCATTCCCAAGGAAGTTTTTGCCACTTCCAACCAAGACACTGTCGTCTAAATTTCAGTTTCCACATGATAGGCACTTGTCCTAGTGCTGCATCTCAGTTGGGTAGTTCCTGTGCCTGAATGGTTACAATGCAGCTGTCTCCTACTAAATAGCTCGGGAAAGCACTTTAACCTTAAAAACAAAGCAAACCAACAAACACATACCCTTTCCCCCAAAACAGCTTGGGTTCAAACAGGATTCTTCCAGGCGAGATGGCTGTGGTTTCCCTTATTAATACAAATGAGAGCATTAAGCTATCAGTGAGGAATGGGATGTGAAGCTGCTGACAAATCTGCTGAGTGAAAAGTTTGGCCTTTCATTGTATTACAGACTTGGTGACCATTTTATCATTTTAATGCTAACCCAAAAGTATTTACTGAAATTGGAAAAACATTTTAGTAGTTAACAGCTTGAGTTAACACCTTCATTTCAGTCTTTCACTGAGGCTAGCTTCAGAGTTGTGCAAGTAAGTAAACATCCTACACAGAAGTCCCAATAAAGCTATAAAATCTCTACAGTAATGTAATGTCTTTGTGTATTAACTGCATTCTTGTAAAAGCTTGCCAGATACACATTAAAACATTCTTTTTTTTTTTTTTCTTCTAGTTGTTGATTGCGAGACACTTTTTGTCACTTTCATATGCTTTCGCTGCAAGTCTTCAGTATCTGTGTTGGCATTGTTCAGCTATGTTTTGGGTTTTCTGTTGTTTTTAATTACAGTACTAAATTGGAAAAGGGATGCAGAAAGGTGTGAGCCTTTTATTAAAAAAAAAGTCTTTGTGCATATTGTTATATAAACGGAGTTAGCTAATTTTTATATAAACTGAGTTAGCTAATTTTACAGGGTTGCTTTGATAGGCAAAAGTTTTTCATTACATTTTTGCTTCACAAAGTCGTGTATTTGTATAGTGCACACAGTCGTTTGTTAAATTTTGTGAGTAGTCCTATGGAAATGGTATTGTATAAATTCTGAACTTTGCCTTATCTAAAGTTTGCCTCAGAGGAAAAAAAGCTTTTGGTGTTAAGTTATGTCTCATTTCTCATGTCTGTGGGGGGAAAAAGAGAAGATACCATGTGTCTGGCCCTGACAAAGCATATTTCATCAGACTGCTATTATTCCTGTGCAGGCTTTGAAGAAAAAGGGTAAAAGGTCATTCTTTGTTTGTAACTAAGAAAGATCTTGTCTTTGAAAGATGGTTTATTTTTCTGATATTTAAAAGTCTTCTCCTCATAGGTATTTGTTTGCTTTTAAATCTTGCTTATTTCAAGTATAAATATACTCAGAAAGACCACCACTGTTAAGGAAGACTGAGTATTTTTAAAACATGTAGCATTTATACCACCTTAATGTTCTCACAAATAAATTACTTCGATTGTTATGTCAGAAATGACAAAGCAGTGTGTTACAAGAATGAATGTACTCCTTGAGGATTTTTTGTATGAACACCAAAATAATTTCATAAAAGGTGTTTTTTATAGGTGATCTTTAGTACTCGTTATAAATAATTTGCTTTAATATGTATGTTCTAATGTTATTTGGGTTTTTTCGTAGCCAAATGCCAAATGCCCTCTCTGTAGGAAGGAGCTTCGAGTAGAGCACTTGGTGGAATGTCCCCTGGAAGAGGAAATAGATTCTAGTAATGGAAAGAAGTCTGAACAGGAATGGATATCCAGTTCAAAGGTACATTCCATTGTGTTTTACTTGACTTTCTTTATGGTTTTGTAGAGCCCTCTCTAGAATGTCCATGTAAGTATGGTGAACACACTTAAATTATGATTTAAAAGTCTGCACAGCGTGTTTAGCCAGCATAATAAAATCTCATCACAAACAAATTTTGCAGCAGGGAAACAAGACAAAAGGAGCACCAGTTGTAAGGTGATGCTGGTCATTGTGCTGTACATAGATGTGTATCAATTAAATAAAATATCCAGTAAAAGCTGTTGCTTTGCCTTTTGTTTCTGAAGATAGAGTAATTTCATAACCACTGAAACTATTCAGCTCTTAATTTACTTTTGCAAACTAAAAATCTAAATAAATCCTTCTTTCTTAAAACTTGTCTAAAGGATATATATTCTGCTCTAGAGGGGAAAACGTAACGGGGCATCATATGTTCAGTGTAACACTTGTCAGATAAGCTAGTGAAATATTTTTATTTTACTGTGCAGACCTGTTTCTCAAGGTCTGCCACATCGTTTTTTTCCTCACCTTCATTGTGCATTTGATGCGAGAAATTAAATCTTCCTGCTAGTACTTTGACCTTTTTGTTCTGAGATTGTAAATTAAAATTAAAAATTTAATGTTTCAGAAAAGCAATTACGTTATTGGTCTTTCTAAAGCTGGTTATAAATTTATTCCCTAAAAGTCCTTCTGTGGAGAACTAAGAACTGATTTAGGATATTGTACTCTAGAATAAATTAGGATTTTTTAATTTTTTTTTTCTTTTTTACCTGGTGCAGTTACTTGTTTTCTCTAGTTAGTTGTTCTTTACCTCATCATAGCCAAACCTTGCGTGAGACAACTGGCACTGTTGTTCTGCCTCAGATCTAGTTCCTTGCTCCTTTTGTTCTCATGTTGGTCCCAAGAGTGCTGCTGGTTCCTCCTTGTCACCTGTCATACCTAGCCAAGGCTCTTATATAGCTTATTTGCCTGAATATTCCTGGGGAAAGCCTTTCTTCTTGAGTATTGCTACAATAGAGCACTTGCCTTGTGGTTTCAGAGTTCCAGTACACGTTCCTTTTTTCCATATGCCCTGGAGGTAGGGGACTTGTTGACTCCTGGCAGTGGGAAGCGGTCTAGAAAACGGGTTTGTGAATCCACTTCCCCAAAGCACCTTCAATCACCCTGTAGTTTGCGACCATTAAAGTGCTCAAACCCTTAGTTTCCTTTGGAAACCAAAATAAACCCTTCCTACAGAGTTTAAGACTAGTTCATTTAAAAGGTATTACTGAACAGTGATTTCTCAATTGATGTAAACTTTATCAGAGCACCTGTAGGAGTGGAATCTAACCAAGCCAGAATAAGCTGCGTAAGTCTTCGTTTAATTTCAGATAAACGCTCTCATGCATGCTTTGATAGAACTACGGAGGGATAATCCAACTGCTAAATGTCTGGTTGTTTCTCAGTTCACAACTTTCCTGTCACTGATAGAAAATCCCTTGAAGTAAGTAGAACTTCTGTTATTTTTAATAAACATCTGCTTTTACGGTGTTTTAGAAAGATCTCTCAAAGAATATAGTATCTTTTTGATTTTCAGAACTTCGGAAGAGGAACAAATTACTTAAATACTTTGTTTAGTGGAATAAAGCTATGAAGTCCTGTTACTTTTCATGTATCACCTGTTCAATGCAGAAATTTAAATATGCATTTCAAAGTAGAGGTCAGGATTTTAATGTATTTATTTCGTGTTGTCACAGAAACTGGATTGTTAAATTGAACATTTTTACTTTCTTTTCAGAGAATCGGGGTTTGCCTTTACTCGCTTGGACGGGTCAATGGCACAGAAGAAAAGAGTAGAAGCAATTCAGTGTTTCCAAAGTGGCCAAGCAGGATCCCCAACTGTAATGCTTTTGTCTCTGAAAGCAGGTGGAGTTGGATTAAATCTGACAGCAGCTTCCCGAGTGTTTTTAATGGATCCTGTGAGTAATGGGTTGTTCATAAGGACCTGGCTTAATCTAGGTGAAGCTCCTTTGGTGTTCTCCTAAGAGGTAGAAGGAAAGCCCCTCTGAGAATGGACGCTGATGAGTATCTGTTAAAGGGCAAATAGGGTTTTACAGTGTAGCATTTGATTTCTGTTCTTTATTTCTTTCTCTCTGATACTTTTGCATGTGGTTTTTTGTTTGTTCTATTTAATAACTGCAAAAGCCGTAAAGTGGAATTTCAGGAACAGTGTGGGGTTTTTTTTCTGTGTTATAACGCAGTGCTTCTCTGTTCTAGTCTCTTCTGTTATTTTTGTGAATTTATAAATAAAGTCACTAGTCTGAGGTTACTTACTGAGAAATATGGTGATATCTAAATTTGGCAAGTTTTATCCTTTCATTAAAGCACTCAGGAATGCAAGATTATTTGTAAGGAATAAAAATGTAAATTACATTTACTGATAGCAAAATGGTATTCTTAACAGAATTGGTTCATGGCTTGTTGTGTCATTGTACAAAACTGAAGTTTTTCTGTTCGCTTCTTCCCACCCCCGCTATTTACTCCTCTGCTCTGATGTCCTAGTTTTTTGGCAGTTGGAATTGAGACAAATTCTGCAGTTTGTGCACTTGAAAACAAAACTAAAGTAAATTAAAATAATAGTGTAGCTTTGGACTTGGGCATCTAGTAACTCCGATAGTAAAGAAAAAGTACTAGCTTGGACATCAAGTTAGTGATAATAACACCATGAAGACAAAAGCTATTTACTTCATAAACAAAAGGAATTAAATATGAGTAAGAGTATAGAGAAGTTGCCTTGCAAAAAGGTTTTTCATGAATTGCAATACATCTTCACAAGTATTGTTTCTGCACGTGTTGCATTGAATAGTTCAGTTGGAAGGGACCTACAACACCATCTAGTACAACTACCTTTTTTAAAAAAAAAAAAAAATCTCTGAGTAAGAAAACTTGTGGTAAGTCCAAGAGAATTTTCATTTTCTGTGAAGATAATTAATGAGGTACAATGCATACACTGTCCTGTGGCAAGCAGTTGTAAGAAAATAAGCTAAACGTTGTTAACATTGGGTCATCTACAGTATATAGTTATGCTTGGCTATGGTTTGCGAGGTATAATTGCAGCCTTTATATACCATTGAATAACTCCTCATTCTGCTGGTAACCATCCTTTGATGGTAACCACCCAACGTGACAGTGGTTGACTACCTGTATTTGATGAAGGGGCAATGGGACCAGGTGATCCTTTGTGATCTCACTTTTGAATGTTCAGTACCAAATGAGATTCGGTCATGCATTAGCAGTCCTTGAAGTGAATTAGCAGCAATAATAGGATTTAAGAAGCAGAAATACCTCTGGAGCCAGTGGAGTAACCAGTTTTTCTACTCAGATTCTGTGGATTTGTTGTAGAAGTGTAGCTTAGAGATCTGCATTCTTTCCAAGAGGTTTTATACCACAGTGCAAGGGAGGAACATTTATCCAACTATAGACTACTTTCTTCCCATGCCTTATTTTTTTCTAAATTTGTTTGTTTGTTTAAATACAATCATATCTGCTGAATTCTCACCTTTAGGAAGAAATACGAACCTTTAATGTGAGAGTATCACAAGTATACAGATGTTTCTCTGAGGATCAAGTTTCTTCATATTTTCCCATGTAAAATGTAGTATCCTTTGTATGAGAGATTGCAGAAAGGCACAGAGGTATTGCAATTCAGTTTTCCTTTGCTGGACTGATGAGAGAAGAGGAGTGACAGTCTTTGGTCTTCCTGGACTACAGCAAAGATAGAATGGAACATGCTTGTGCATGTTTGGGCTAGGTCTTTCCTCAAGACGTCATCTCGTTTGTACAGTCAGATTATTATTAGAATGGTTTGTCGTACACAGCTTGCCAGGAATGTTCATCTTGCAGTGACAGATACATCATTTGTTGCACTTCTGCTCAATCCCTCAGATTTGAGAAACAAGACTTGTTTGGCTTTTATCTTGCAGCTTAATGTCTTAAGTGTGTTTAGGCGTCAAAGGTTCTTAGAATTGAAAACGAGTTTTTTGTGCTAGCCTCGTGCTGTTTCCCTCCCTCCTTCTATAGAAAGGAGTCGTTAAGAAGAGTTCCTAGCTGACTTTCAGTATGTGGGTGATATGGCAAGGGGAGCCCACTGCACGAGACTTGCTTATCACAGACAGAACATTATTACATTTTAGGTAATTTAAGTATCCATTCTGTGAGAACAAGTGGTACTATACCGTTAGACAGAAAAGACATTCTGGAAAAACGCGGAGCACAGGCTTGGCGTTTCACAAATCCTTATATTTAGTGTTATATCCTAAGCATAAGTAGGAACAGCTACACTACCATTTGTGTTCAGCAAGTTTCTTGTTTACCTAACTTGATGATTATTGCATATACTAATGGAAGTATACATAGCCTTTCATAACAGTCAGGGGATTTAGTCTGCTGATAAATAACTGCCTGTGTTCAGGTGGCTTAGATTTTGCTATTGGGAAAAGAATACTGAGGCAGTTAGTATTTGGAGTATTTATTTCAGAATTAAAATGATAACAAGATTGTTTTGATGTCTGCTAGACTCCTGACAAACTTAGTTTTTAAAGCATTTACCTGAAGTTCCTGCTTGTTACCAATATATAACCAGAAGTTCTCAAAGCTTTCTTTATAGCGGGATACGTAGGGAGTGAGACATTAGGTTGGGAGTAATTAATCTGCAAGCAATATTTGTTCAAAAGCTGATGGTACAATAGCTTCCTTGTGATTCCATGTGCATCTTATTATGTGAAGGGAGGTTATTTAACTTGTTTTTTGCTGTTACTGATAGGCTTGGAATCCCGCTGCCGAAGACCAGTGTTTTGACAGGTGTCACAGGCTGGGTCAGAAGCATAATGTTGTTATTACTAAGGTGAGTTGAGACATGATCTGTTTGAACAGTTTTCTGGTTATGAATAAATAAATAATTTTCCAAAAAGCTTTACTGTACTTTTAAAAGAATTGTGACAACATATGTCTCACTAGTTAACTTAAATAGTGGTGTGATTTTTGAAGTGTGAGTTCTCGATTGTAAGATTTTATTACATGTAACCTATTTCCCATGAAATGATAATTTTAGAAATTAAATGTCCCCGTTGAGCTATTTGGAATGACTAAGATGGGGTAGTATTGCTGTTGCCTAGCCTGGCTATTACAATTTATTGCCTTGAAGGTATGTAGAATGCTTTTGCTTTTGTCATAGCAGCTTGTTTAGTTGTGGAAGAGCAGCTCGTCTGTGTCACTAATACCCAGTTACAAAAATATTACTTGGGAAATTGAAGAGAGGTTCTCTTCTGTTATAATTAGCAAAGATGACAGACTCTTCCACTATGTGTTGGGGAAAAGAAAAAAAAAAAAGGGGGGGGTGGAAATGAAAATTACAAACCTTTTCCTCCAACTGCTTTATAACCCTTCTCTCTTGTGTTTTCTTTACAAAGTAATAACGAAATAATGTAACTGTGCCTTAGGGTACTCAGCTTTTTAACTTTTGTCCCCCAAAGTACCTAGATTTCTCATCCTAAACTTCTAATTAAAAAAAAAAAACACAACTCTTCAACTCAGTGGGGCTTTTTTTTGTGTTTCAGTTCATTGTGAAGGATTCAGTGGAAGAAAATATGCTGAAAATTCAGAAGAAGAAGAGGGAACTTGCATCAGGAGCCTTTGCCACCAAAAAGCCTTCAGCAAGTGAAGTGAAACAAACCAAAATTAATGAAATTAAGGCTCTAATTGATTTATAGCTTGAAACTGTGATATTTTGAGTAAATAATATATTTAATATTGCATTTCAAGTTACATGTCTCATGCTAACTTTTAGTTTTGCTGTCTTCGTGGTCAAAACATAAATGCTTCAAATAAATTATAAAAACTAATTTGCTCCTAAATGTTAATTTAGAGAAGCAGGAACTTGGTTTTGCACTCCTAAAATCTTTCCAGTGAAACTTTGAAATGTTGCTTATTATGTACAACGCTTAGAATACATAAAACTCCCTCAAAACAGAAATGCCTATTCATGCATTCTAACTTGCAAGAATTTAGTATCTTTTTAGAGGTGAAAAGGTAACAAAAGGTAAATAATGTATGCTTTGTCCTTCAGACAAAAGCCTTAAGAAATGAATTAGCTTCATGTTTCAATTTCCGTGTTTCCTGATAACCAAACAGATCATCTAGATTATTTGTTTCAGAATTGGTGGTCAGTGATCACTTCATAAGGAATTCTTACTTTTGCAGACTATGTTCAAAGATGGCATTTAATTCAAAATTTTAATTTTTTTGTTTACTGTTCTGAATACTACACAGGTGCAGCAGGGAGTTCCTCTGTTAATTACTTCCCAGGAGCTAGTAAAAATTAAGTACTTAAAGTGTTTTATGAATTTCTTTTAATATTTTACTTCCCTTAAACAGAATTCTGCTGATTTTTGTAAAAGTCAAGGTTTTCTGATTTGGATAAAAGGCTAAAATCATAGCCTTGTATTGATAACACGCTTTCTAATAATTTCTGTACACACTTTGAACAGTGTGACTGTGTTGTATGCAAAGCAGAATATGACCCACTCATTTGTCAGTGAATCAGTTAGCTCTTGCAAAATAAACTAAACAAAACAAATTATCTTAATAGTTGCCATCTTTCTGACAGTTTTCTTGCACTGCTAAGTGCTTTTCCAATCCCATGCATATGTCTTAAAGGAATGCTGATCTGCATGCATCTTGATTTATAGAGGAAGAATTTGGTAAACTCCTCATTACCTTCCAAGTAATAAATAGCACTGAAGAATCTCACTTGAATATTCTTGTCTGTTCCTTCTATCTCTTTCCATTTGATTTTGGTCTTCTGTTTGGGTATTTTCCTGACACTATGCTGCACACCTGTAACACTCAGACTTGGCATTGGAGGCAGAAACTGTTATGTTTAGGTTGATTTATATTCAGGAAGTGTATTTGGCAGCAGAGAAACAGAATCCGATTTGCTTCTAATACCTTTCACCTTTTCTTATGTCTTAGAGTACCAGCCAGCTGATTATAAGATGCATTGCAAACATAGGAAATAAAAAAGGATTGAAAAATAAAGGGAAGAGGTCTGGGATTTGAATGAGAGACGGTGAGCCAAGGGAAGGAGTGAGAAAGGAATTAAAGATATGTAACCTAACAAGCTGATGCAGTTTTTGGGGGCCCAGCATCTTAGCTATGGAGAAAAGTATTTTAAGTCTGCTAGAGAAAGAATTAAGATGACAGGAATGACAGAAGTCAGCATGAACCCCAGTAACTGGTTGTCACTGGAAAGGTAACAAAAGAACAAGAAACTAGAGCTGCACCCAATTGACTTTTTTTTGCATAGCTTATGTAAGTTAAACTTTCTTTGGGGTTTTGGGGTTCAAATTCTGATGTTTAAAGATAAGCTGGAGAAATAATTCCTGCTAATGAATGAGAGATTTGGCTTTGTGTCATTCTTTCCATTTTCCAAGTTAAAATTCTATGAGAGAGAGAGAGACCCATTTCAAGGGCTAGTCTAGCTACATCATTACTTGTGTTAAAATATGCTGACATGTTGCTGAGTTATGATTATGAAAACAATTACTAGTATCATTTTCCTGTACTAGATGATGGGTTTAGTGTTCCCAAGCCAATTAAAAACTTGCTGGAGTTAGTACTATGCTGTATGGCTAGTTAAGGTCTCTCCCAAGAAAGCCATTAATGTATCTGAGAGAACAGTTTGGGGTCAAAGCTGAGAGCAGAGAAGTCCTGGCTCATTTGATGGAACTGTTCAGTTACTTGGGTGGCTAAAAACCACAGTGTTCTGGTGGTTTGGGGTTTCTTTTTGCTTTTCATGATATCTAAGTAGTCTTTGGCTATTGGTATTATCTTTCTTGGAGTTCTAACAGTATGTTCTGTGGCATGTTCTAGAAATGGTCTTTTAGAATTATGAACTTAACATTTTTAATTTCAAAGACCAAGTTAGTAGTCTTATCATTTGGGTGTTTTTTTTTTTACCCCCTACATAAAATAAAGACGTTGCTCTGAGTTGTCACCATCTAAGGAACACCTTAGATTATACGCTTTTTAAAGGCAAATGGAGTTCTGACACTTGAGTCATGATCTAAACAGGGCTATGATTCTTTTGAATAATGATGTTTTGCCTATAGTGCTTTAATTCAGTTACTGCTTTGAGTACCTACAGTTTAGAGCAGAAAATTGTTTGCATCAAGTGATAGTATTACAAGGGATAAAAAGGGATCTCTCTCTTTCCGCAAACGCTACCTGCGGTAATTATGAAGGAAATAGTGGCAGATAATGACAAAGGTAATTTTATTGAAAATAAGCTGCATAGTTTGGTATAGTATCATACCTTTTGCTTTCCTGAGGCTGTGGGTAAACACTTGACCATAGTATGAGTCACAGAAGCTAGGACAGAATGGTTTTATAGTTTTTTTTTTCTTTACTAACTATATTTGTTAACCCAAAACATGCAGGTTTTCATCTTAATTCACCATCTCTCCTTATCTTCTTGTATTAACGTAACAAAACTTACACGCTAAACCAAATTTTCAGGTTGGTATAGTCTCATGCTTTTACACTTTCAGTTCTCTCCCATTAAACTTAAAAAGTAACGTGCCTATTCTCTAGTACAAATACAGACAAGGGGAGCAAAACTAAGACTGTTTAGCTGTCTTCAAAAGAGTATTTTACCATTTTCCATAGAGTATTTTGTGAGCATGCAGAATTCCAATATTTGTACTTGTTGGATAAAGTATATTTTTGTCGCTACAGATTGTAACTAGTAATCCCTCCTGCTTTCACACAACTTCAAATTTATCTGTTAAAAAAAACCCAACACAGCAAAAGAAAAACCCACACAGGAAAGGGCTAGTTACAACTGAAAGTTCAGATGCTATGTACTTTTAAATAGATACAAGCTACTTTGGTTCAGACCTCATCTTTAGCATTTCTGCTAAATGGTGACCAAGGAATCTTAGAGCAATTAAGAAGTGAAAACAAGTTAAAACAAACTAACTCTCATACCCAGATTACATCTTCTGCTTTACCAGCAAATGGTGAGAGCTTGTGGATTGTTTTTTATCTCTAGGGTAAAAGTTTAGCACCCTCACTAGCTTCCTGCCAAAATCTTCCTTTATTAGGAAATAATGAAATAATGTTTTCTTAGTGTTTCTGGACTAGTACAGAGTATAGCTGTCAGACCGAACAATAAATAATTTGGTTCTGTTTAGACTTTTGGCTAAAGGATGGATCTGAAACTTAGTACACGTAACAGCCAATCTCTGTCTTCAGCATACTTTTGTTATTGCGATTATTTTTACTGCTTTTCCATGTGTCTTAGAATACAATGTGTAGCCTGAGTGTGGGAAAACCACTTTGTTTTACTCTCTGCACACAGGGAAAAAGCAGTTTCCCTAATCAGGGTAAGTAAAGTTACTTGAGCAGCTATTTAGTCTTTCTTTGCCAAATAGCATCACCCTTGTGTTTAAAAACAAGTTCACAGTGTGCAGGGCTTATGTTAGGGATGATGTTTCTTTAGTCACTGAAAGAAAGATTCCCTCTTCCCAAGCTCCATGTTGCTTATGTGAGCAGCTTCAGCAGGTACTTCCTCCACTGCCGTCTTATACTTAGGGCAAGCTAATAAGGGGACTTGGCGCTAAACAGCTCCCTGGCAAATGACTATAAACTCTGTAAATAATGACAGAAACTAAAGCTGGACATTTGCTAATGATAGCTGGAGTAGCATTAGCAAAGCTTAAGGGTTATACCTGTTGAATATTTTAGTTAAACTGCTTCAGAGCTCCCTCTTTTTTTAATTGCTCAAGAGTTTAGGGAAGCCAGAAATGCATGACAACTTTTTATTTTTGTATCAAGTGCAACATTGCAAGTAACAGATAAAACTCAGTTTACTAGTCCCATAGTATACAGAACTGAAAAATGCATTCTGCCATGCTGTAGGCACTGTGCGTAAGAACCTGGTCAAAACTTCAGTGCAATTGTGACTGGAAGAGCAAAGCAGTGCTATTACTGTTACATCTGTATGTATCCCAGTGTCATTAATATATTTATGGTAAAGCAGAATGGCTACCACTCTAGTGTATGAGCAATCCCATGAATTAGATTTTACATCTAAAACAGCAAGCAAAGGAATCAATGCTAATCACCTTAATGAGGTGAGGTAACAAACCCAGTTTCAAGGAATATGTTGAGCCAATTGATCACAACAGAAGAAAATTTAAGCTGAAAATACCTGGTTTTATCTAGTAGGGAGAATTGGAAATTGGGCAGTTATAGGTGGCCCAAGGAATTCTGCTTCCTAGCTTTTGCTCAGTCTTCGTCTGTAGCACTGCAGAGGCCTTCAGCCAAGAAGTTTTTCAACAAGCTACTAGCAAGTGTAACTGACCACCATCTATACCTTTCTAGCTGTTAGTTCTGGAACAAGTCCTTGCATCACCACTGTTTGAGACAGGCATTTCTACTGAAGGTAGGTATCAAGTTTCTTCTTGATGTTGTCAAAAGAATCCACTCCCATATAGTCAGCTTGGCCCTGTTCCCACCGTTCCTTGCGTTCTTCTGAAGATACAGTTGGTAATACTGGTGATGGTGCTGATATTGATATGTGGGACACCGCCTCTGTAACCTCTGCCTAAAAGGAAAGGCAGAGTGAAAATACAGAAATACTTTGCATAGCTACAGTGAGCAACAGGCCATAGAATGGGACAACAAAGTAGATGGTCTCATGCGCAGCAGCAAGCATAGCCAATGTGCAGGGATTGTGCAGCTTTCCTAGCAAAATAACAAAGCAGTGTTACAAAAGTTAGCAGGGAAGGAAAAAAAAAAAGAGAAAAGTTTAAGTTCTTCATACCTCTCTACAGAAGCCACAAGAGAAAGCCAGAGTATAGACCAAGCCCGATAGCTGCAAATAGTTCGTTAGAAAGATGTAAGATTAACAAGAGAAAGCACATCTTAAGAGATCAGTTAACTTTGGTCTCAGAAAGGTTGAGAACTTAAACAGGCCCGTGCACTAATTTAAGACTATAACGTCTGCAGTCAGATGCAAGCTACTAAACTCTGTGAATGAGAACTAGAGTTAGAAGCATTGCTTTGGCTTTGATGTGTATTGGGATTCATCACTGCCAGTCTACGTAAGTACTCATTCTTTAGTTATCCTACGCTTACCTAGATTTGTTTCATCATGCAAGATCTGTATGTATATAATGCATGCTGAACTGGGTTCTTCTGCTTGAGAACCTTAGGAGCTGCAACACATTAATATATACAGAGAAGGGCCCTAACTCTTAAAGAAGCTACGACAGTATAATTTCTGGTGCACCATTAGCTACTTACATAGTTTGTTTTAGGCAAGCAGACAGCTACATTCAAGCTACAGCATGCTTCTCTTCTGTAGTATTATTTATGCCAAGCTTAAAAGAACAAAACCAAAAAACCCTGCATCCCACAAACTAAACCACACCCATGCTTTCAGTTGGACAGAGGGAAGGGAAATCAGTGGAACGGTAAAGAACCTGTCATCCATAACTTAGTTTCTACAAGAATATTAAAGCACATACCATGTTTACACCTGTATTAATGTCTTTAACAATTCCATGCTGTTCTAGTAATGGTAAAACATTAGCTGCATAGGTATCCCACCACATGTTGAGGAATTCTGGGTGAACTATTTTAGAGTCATCCATGTTGCCTTTTATGCTTTTTGTTCTGGAGTCATATGTATAGTTCCATGGCTTTGTGCTTCCCAGGAAATGCACCACTTTAGTATTTGCACCAAACCTGTTGGACAGAAAAAGTTAGAACCCACAGTTTGTGCAGGTGTCTAGAAAACAAGAGTTTTAACTGGCAGACATAAATTTTTTTTTTTTAACCTGCAGTTTCTGTAGGTGTCCAGAAGACAGAAATATGTATATATTTAGGAGGCTAAACACTAAATGATCAAACTGTCAATGCCTACTGGGACTGAAAGCATCGCTATACAACAAAAAATGCAAATGGAATTCTACATTACACTAGTCAGAATACAGCCAAAACCTAATGGTCTGGGCTATTTAAGTACTTACAGCCAACTCAAGTCTTTAGGTAGAGTGATGTCCATAGCTCAGGAGAGAGCAGTCTCAAGCAGCCGTTGCAATCGGAACTGGTTTTAAAAGTGAAAAAGATTCTACTCCAAAGTCAGTGATCCAGATAGTTAGGCATTACAAGCATTATGTAGAGAAGGGTCAGTGTTAAGAGTTACCCTTTCAGTTTACAGTCCTATAGAAAAGGATCATTGGAAGGTCCTGCTGCAGTAAGATTGTGGCCCTGCAAAATAACAACTCTGTATAACCTAGGCATTTCAGAGGAGTTCTGATCTTGGTGCAGTAGGGTCACGCCAGACAACCAATGCATTATTTTCTAAATAACCTTAGTTTAGCCAGGGGTGGGTTTTGTGGTGGTAGTGGGTTTCTTTTTAGAAGTACTTTAACTCCATTTTCAATACAGACTACTCACTTTGTCCGAAATTGTACCAGTATTTTTTTTGCATTAAGAGTGTAAATGAGATGCACGCCTTTTAAAGCAAAGACCTTAACACTAAAAGAGACAGCATTCATTCCATTGTTCTATGGTTCCAGAACTAGAGTTCAGCTTGAGTCAGTTTTGTGAACAAGCAATAGCAGTCTCTCTAGTGACTGTCTCTCCTAGTTCAGTTTGCATCACGTTAGGATTTCTTCTCAACAAAATAGGACTAAAATGAGTAATAATGCCAAACTAGTTTGTGTAACATTTTTGTTAAGCACACCCTGGTCATTTTGACCAGGACTCAGACTTTTAAGAAGTTTTACATATGGAGACTATGCAAGTGTTTTTCAACAACTTCAGACAAGGCAGTATGGGGGGGGGCGGGCGGTGGTGGTGGTGTGTGTGCATGTACTATTGCGAGATCCTTGACTGTATTTCAATATTGATGTTCAATGTTTTGAACACAACTGATGTTATTGCAAAAGTAAAACCTAAGCATGTATGAAACAAGGTCAAATATTTGTACTAATTGCAAGAAAAAATATCTGTCTTCAAGAGGTCAGTTCCTGGGCTTTAACTTTAAACTCATGTGTCAAGATTGGGCATAAGAGGACTATCTTAGTTTTAGTAACCGTCACAGCACTACTTAACATCCTGAGTTTTCTTCATCATAGGCTACTGCCGTTATGAAGAAACTTGTCATTGTTTAAAAATCAAGGCTATTTAAGCTAGAGAATGTCTAAGAAGTGTTACATTACACTTCCTGCAAATAAGGTAGAATATTCTTAGTATTCTGTCCACTTAAGACCTGTACAACAGTTGACAGATGCCAAGCTTCTATGACGTTTTAAGTATCTGCTTTCTAGATCTGCAATACTTTCTTTTGACATTTAAGCTCAACTGTTAGGAAGCTTTATGTCCACACTGGCCTCAGTAACTAATCTGTCTTTCCCCATCTCCCAGAAAAGTCCTTCATCAATGTTTTGAAGTTAGAGAGCATTTGTCATGAATTGGCATTTTCCTTTGGAAAAAGGATTACCGAGACTGCTGTGAAATCTAGTCTCGCTGTACAAAGCTGCAAAAAACTTAGCTATTGATGTCAGTAGGTTTACATTTCACTTTATTCCAACTGCTGATTATCAGGAGTGTAGCTGCTGATCTAACCAAAGGAAATTGTTCCACTTATTGAGCAGGCCATTCTGCTTAAAAGGGCTGCACTTCCAGCATTCTACTTTTGAAGGTCTGCCGAATTCAGTTAGGCAATTGATTCAGCCAGTCAAGTGGAATTTTTGTCAGGAGTCCCCAGATCAAATTAGTCTTTTGTGGCAACAAGGTCATTCGTAAATTTAAGGTCACGTGACCAACCACCAGCCAGCCATGGAAAGAGCCATACTTCACAGTAGATGTGAGCTTATCAAATGCTACCCAACTACTTAGTCACTCTTAGACTGGCATATATTTCTTTAAATAAGTGTTCCATTTTTAGCATGACAGGATTTCGAGTGGAATTCTGATCACAAGACATAGCTTGATCTTCAGCCAGCAGCAGTCCGGCTTGTGCTGGCTGCTGCTTTAGACGCTGGTAACCTGATGTCATTCGGAGATCAGATTGCTTTTATGCAATTGGTACTTTCCCTTCCCCACCCCCTCAACTTTTACAGCTCTTAATGAATAAGAGCTTCTGCATAACATTTCGGTTTCCTCCTGTGCTTATTACACTTTGAGTGACCCTGCCACTGCCCTACAGTTCACTCGCGTGCCAAATCTAGTACTGCTAGCTAGGGAGGGTACAGTTGTTTTCCTTACACGGGAAACATGCAATGATATGGTGGCTGGCTGGCTGTAGTTTTTGCTCCCTCTTGCTATTACTTAATGAACTACCTGGTATCTGGAAAGATTGTTGGGAGAGAATCCTGGCTTTATACAAGTCTCTGTTCACCATGTTTATTTGAATGGTATAGGTTGATTAGATGAACTGTAACTACTGGTTGTTAAATACCCTAAGTAATTTGAGTGAGCAAAGGGCAAGTTATCTAGGTGGGAACAATACCACTAGTGACATGCTGAAGTTCAGCTCAAGCTGATTCAAGAGCTACTGCCTTTGGTTAGAGCTGTACTAGACAGTATCCCATATTGGAGTGGTGGGAAAAAAAAAAAAAAGGAAAAAGTTCTTCCTTTTGCAAGTGTCCTGACAAATGTGCTTACTCTAAATCAACTTCAGTGTTACACCAGGAATGAGTGGTTTAAGCTACAGATACAGCTTTCTCTATGCATTTATCATGAGATGATTCATTTAACTAGTATTAATTCAACTTTTTTTTTTTTAGAGGAAACTATTAGACCTTCTTTTAGTGACAATAATGGTCTCGCTTTAGAAAAACTGTAAGTTTACATCACGCCTGTTCTTTCTGTTACAAGAAATTAGTTTATATAAGCTCTGAAAGTTGTCTTATAATTTTGAACTTACGCTTTAAATGCTGGAAGGTAGGAATATACAGAAGTGCTGCTCAAATTATAAATAAATGGTAGATGTTTGCTCATGTCTGTTGTTGCCCAGCTGCTGAAGAAGGTGTTTAACAACCCCTGATCTGCACCTGAAAGAGAAAGCAGTAATAGGCTACAAGCATCAGATAACTGTTTCAGGATCTTTTTCAGTCACTTCACTAATTAAGAGTTGGTAATGCAGTTGCCGTGTCCAGTAGATGTTTGGCACAGAGCACTGGAGTTCTGTTTGTGAACAACCCTGTAAACCTTGCAGCCTTTGAAAATAAAAAACATGCAGAGAATGAAAAAGGTAGTACATGTGGGGTTACTTCTTCTAAAAGATAGCAAGCTGCTCACAAACCCTGCCATTCAGTTTCTTTTACAGCTCAACTTCAAGCTGTATAAGGCAGCAAAAAACAGGACTTGACAATTGAGTCCTGTTGAGCTTCAGGAAAGGTGTAGCTTGGAAGATCAAGTGCCAACAATTAGTTTTATTACTTATGCTTACAGATGCATGACCAACATCCCAATGCCAGAGTTAGGATATCGGTGGTCTGTTAGAGCTGCAGCCCTACATGCATCTGCCTACACTGTGATATGATAAGGAAAGCACATTGGGTCTTGGCGACAACTCTAGTAAAACTTCATCAAATACCTTAACAGGCAATAGGCATTCCTAGTTCTGTACTAAAAAGCTGCTGGCTAACTCCTAAGTGTGGATAACAACTTAGGTTACAGCCTGCTGTGTTGGGAGGGGTCACCTCTTAGTTTACAAGTAGAGGTTGTAATGAGGTCAAATGGGTCTGAAGTTGTTTGGTATGTCAGTAGTAGAGTAGCTAAAAAAAAATACCTCTGGCCCAAAGCACACTAGTTGATAAGCAGCTACTGAGAAGTAAAAACTAATTATTTATATCCATTCATTCTTTATTGCAGTGAATATACTTAGCCTTTAAGTGCTAATAGTTCCTCTTACGAAGGTGATTGAAAGGAGTCTCTCAACTTTCATTTGCTGTCAGCCCTTCACCTGTAACTGCATTCACAGGTAGCATTGCTAAAGAGTCAGTAAATTGATAGCTTAGAAAAGAGACAATGTTTTATTTTAATCTTTAATTTTCTAAAGCACTCAGTCTCTGCTGACTGAGGAAAGGCTTTTTGTTGGTCTATGATTAGATTTAGGGCAGTACTAATGTTTAAACCCTCCCTGATGTTTGAGCAGAATTTTCTTTTTGCAACGGAAGTATCTAGGCATTGGGCATAAACTTGGATGTACGGACAGTACACTGACAAATATAAATTCCAAGTATCCTGTTACAGCTGTCGGCTTACATGCAGATTGCAGAGTGAGAAATTGCCTAGAGACTCAGTCCAGCAATTTCAAACCTCTGACTTGCCTCTCAACCCATAAAGGAAAGAAAGAATTTTTGAAGAAGTTGTGCCCATCACAAGAGAAAAGAGTCAAACAAACTAGACAAATCCCCTGGTCTTTACCCAGATATGTTTCCTTTTAACTTCTAACTTAATGCTGTGTTAAGAATGCACATGTTAACAGTAAGATCATCTAAAAGATAAGAAAGTCTGATATGCCGCCTTAGAACAGACAGCTCATCACTGAAGGGGCAGCAACAATGTATTTAACTTATTCTACAGAACTTTCTCTCACTCAGAGTGTTTTACATATGCAGCTTTTTTTCAGATTGCATGCATTTGTGCCAAAGCAGCATTTAGCTGCTGTAGCTCAGACTTCCAACAGTAGTCTTGTTGTATAAACTGGACCTTAGACATAAGGCAAAAGAATCCAGCAGGTTACATTAGCTACGTATCTACAGATACAGTCTTGCTGCATTATATCTTTATATGTAAAAGCAACCATTTTAAATCCCAGGCTAAAGATCCAGAGGATCAAAGCAATAGCAATGTTCTTAAGGCATCAGTACTACCAGATTTCTTCTAAAACCAAACTTTTTTTTTCCCCTCCACTACTTCTAGATGGTATCTAGAATTATTGCATGACATATTCCTCTTTTTCTAGAAAGGTGAAGTTCAAATAGACAAAGTAGTTGTCTATATAAGTAGACTCTTATCTCCATCACTCTACTATTTCTGGACAACAGCATTACATAGGAGGCATGTGTCTGCTGTTATAAACATGAAATACTCTGGGAAGTCTTTCATTCCCTAGTTACAACAACTGCAGATGGAATGCTGAGAGCTAGAGTTCATTTATGCATGGCTTGGTAGCTTGCTGAGATTGCATCCCTGTGTCCTGTTAAGGGCAGTGACCCTTCACAGGTGTTTCTCTTATAAAAGGTTTCCTAGGAACTTTCATTACTGTCTGGATCAATTTAAGTTTAAACCCCCTTTCTCCCCACCAAATTCACAAGTTCAGCAGCAGCTTATGCAGGTAGCATAAGATTCTGTGGTCTCATTACTCAGATCAGTGCTACCATTTAATAAAAACTGAATAAATTTTAAAGCTGAAGTACAAATTACAGTTCTAGAAATTTGGTACCTAAACCATTAACCCACCATTTTTGCTGTTAAACAATTGCTTGATGTTTAAGACATAAAGGAAATTTCACCATTGTGTGGCTTTAGCTTTCAAGTCAGAAAGTATCTTGTGGAAGCAGTTCTGTTCTTCAAAGGACAGGGGCCTTAGACTTTGAAGGTGGGGTCTGCTATCAGTCAAACACAAAGCTCAGAGGAGACAACCACCAGGTCTTGGGCGTTCCTGGCACTACTCAGTCAGTTTGCACAAAGGTGTTGGCTGGTTTGGCTTTTGTTTGTTTGTTTTTAAATGCAACAATTCAGTACCATGTTACAGCTTTTGCTATGGCAGTGATCAATTTACACCCAACATTTGAGAGCACTCCCAGAGCTACCAACTGCTACCTTGTCAGTAGCAAGGTACAGACAGACCAGCTGTAGCATCCAGCTGCAACTAATGTTCATTAGGAGGCCACACAATAGGACTCCACACAGCTAACAGGGATTATTCTGCAGACAGGGAGTGACATCTAGAAGTTTTACTTTTTACAAGGTACTGAAAGGTAAGTCAGCAGGCTGGCTAATTACCTTCTATTAAGAGTTCCATTTTACAGCCTTATTTATGTAGTTTTCTGTAGCTTTTTCAGTTAGATTTTGTTTTGTACCCCAGTAGTTACATAACGAAATTTAATGACATGAGCCAGTGATATTCAGAAGCCTTTAACTGTAGCAGTCTTCAAGCAACGTGTGCATCTACTGCAATGGTAATAGATTTAGGAGACTTACAGGACAGCAGAACTTGGCTTCTCAAGCTTAAATATGGCACAGTGGCCGATACCAAGTGATGTATAGTGGGAAGCAGCCAAGGCTACATGCACTTGATATTGGGAAAGAGAGAGTCACCACCCTATAACGACAGGAAGCTACCACACAGCATATGAAGAGATAGTTGCATCTTCAAATACTTGTTTCTCTGCACTCGAGTTGATCAGTACTATTTTTTTCCACTTGAGTTAGCATAGAACATTCAAGCCTTGAGTGTTAGGAATGCATGAAGCGTAGTACTGCAGTTTCATTTGCTAGTGTGTGCACTGTGCTTGGTACATCTTACGATTTCTTGTTACAGGATTCTACATTGCTAATGCTTACAGCTGCTAGTTTGGAGGCCAAACTCTTTTTATTTCATGAAGTCTGAAAAAAGTATTTTTACTACATATTGTAATGATAGCCTCTACTGTGAGAAGGATCTAATTTTTGTGTAGTTACATTGAGTTCAGAATTCTATCATACAGAGTTTCCATGACACGTATGTAGTTACTGATCCATCCTAACTGCTATTACCATTTTGATCTAACTTATATTGAAATACAAATTAATACATACCATCAAAGCTGCCTTTCTCTGTGGCAAACTGTAACAGCTGATTGTATGTTTCAATGGAAGGTCGGTAAACAAAAACTCCAGAATTAAAACAGTCAGGCCAGCCTGGATCTGGTGCTGCAGACAGCTCTTCTCTCTCAAAAAGCTCATCGATATTTGACAAAACCTAGTTGTAAACGGGGTAAAAAAATTGTTTTCTGGTTTTTACATTAGGAACTGGGGTATCATGTTTTAATGGATTTTGACATCTACCTTAAGACATGGAAGTTCTCATATCGATGCTCTTATCTTATGGAAAAATATTTTATAGAGACAGCACCCACAGACTATGTTACAATTAATTTAGATTAAAAAGGCTCATACATTTTTAGAGTTACTAGTCCAAATAGCAAGACCACCTCTACTATCCCTCCTCTTAAAAAAAAGAAAACCTACCCCCCCCAAACCAACAAAACCAGAAACAACCCACAGAAGAAAACATTCAAACCCCCCCCACGCCAGGTCATTAAGAGGTACCATGAGACATCACCACTTACCATTGTGTCTGCGTCCATGAAAACACATTTTGAAAACTGCGTCAGTTCCCAGCAGTGAAGCTTTGTTAGTGTGACACCCAGCTCAGGTCTTTTCATTAATGCCAAGTGTGCTGAATCCCCACTATCCAAGACATTTACCAATATGACTTCATCAAAGACTTTTTCCAGCACTTTCCTGGGGAAAGAGCCAATTGCCAAGATTTAGTTCTATTGTTATTCCAGCACCAGACCACACAACAGATTCCATAAAGAGAAGTGGAATAACAGGGAACTTGGCAGTATTTCTTACACCATCAGTAAGAGTTGACTGCATGTGTTGGAATGCACAAGGACACCTGTCTCCCTCAAGGTTTCTAGTTTGTAATGGACATTGTAAGTTTGGAGGGTTTTTTTCTTCCACAAACGGGGCTTTAGTTGGTGTTGCTACCAAGTCCAGTACGTCGTGGCTATGTATTACAAATTTTCCACACAGCTTTTTTTCAGCCAGACTCTGATTTTTGGCAAGTTAACAGTGTACTTTGAGCAGGCAATTAAGAAATGGGAAGCTGTTAGAGTAGCTTGAGCAGGACAGTAGCTGAATCCTAAACAGCTGAAACAGAAGTTATGCAATAGTAATGACAACACTGTTCTGGATTTGTGACTGTTAGGGACATGTGTAGACCCAGTTGCTAAAACTTTCTTTATCCCACAAAGTTCTAAAGACTCACTTAATCATGGCTGTGGGTACAACAGTGTTTTGACCCAGCACCATGTTCACCTAGGGGTGACACTTTCAGACAGTATAGTGAAATTTTGTGGCAGATATGCAACCTTTGCTTCACCATCAGTAAAGCATTACCATTAGTTCAAGAGAGGTCAAGGAGTTCATGCTGCTTAAAATATGAAGCATCTGTAAAGTCTTGCTGTTCTACAGTGTATCTTGAATGCTCAGCAATTATCAGTACAGTTTAAGCCACAGCTTGTAAATGAATTTTAGGACTCTGTCTTGCAAGGCTGTCTTTATACTGACAGTTTGGTATGGACAGTTGCTTCTGAACTTAAGGCATACCACCTTGTCAGTGGATACAGAGTGAGAAATGCAAGTTCCAGTTACACCACTACGTAGGCAGGTATAGCTGGCCTAAGGGCATAGTAGGAGCTGGCTTGCACTAGCGCATAAGCACGTTCATGATTCATCTTAAAAAAGCACACTCACCTAACAGGCTAGAATGCATGTTCCTATATCTAACATCTTTATATTGACACGGCCATTTAGCTGCCAAGAGACTCCAGGGAGAGTCACTCCATTTACTATTGAGCCTATTATTGAGCCCACTATTACTTCTCTACTGTCTCTATAAATTGAGAGATCTTTTCAGAAGAACTTCCCCATGTAGAGAGTCTTGAGCTATCATCTGTAGCTCATGTAGCTATTAAGTTAATTGGGTTTTTTTATTCTCCTCTTACATGTAGAAAGAGCACTCAGTCCGCTCCATACTGAGACTGACTATTCTAGAGAGGCTGTAGGAAGCAGTTAACTTGTTGTACTGTGGTGACCTCATTAGATGCCTCTGTTGATCTGCTGATTTGACGTACTTGGTGCTACTTTAGTTCTGCTCGTTTTCTTCTCTCATGATAAAATTTGATTTGAAGTGTCTGCTAGATTTCAAGAGAGCTTGTGTTACATTATCTCAATCCGGAATGCTTCTGCAAGACAAATAAATTCCAATCCCTTACTCCCACCTCCACATACATACACACAGCACTAATGAATGCACAGGCAATATTGTATGGTTGGACAGTTCTAAGCAGGACTATGAAAGAGCAAAGATCCAGTTCAAATATCAGTATCAAGTCACAGTTTAATGTTCTAACTACACAGTAGTTGTTAACTCATCATATGGAAGAAAAAAGGCAGCTTCATGTTTGAAGAACTTACAGAATTCCAGATAGTCTAAGTTGAATTCTGCTAAGCTTAGCTGTTAAGCTTCCAGAGTTTTAGAAGGTTATTATTAAGGAATTTAACTTCCATTTTTCAACCTTCACATCAGCAGGG